GACAACCCAAGCCCCCCCCCCCCCCCCCTAATTTGATTCTAGGCATGGGAAATTAATAATTGTTATAATATTCTATGTCTAGAATCTAATGACTGGAGGGTCATCTTAAATTCATTCCTCTCTACTGCCACTGCTGAAATGGGAAAAGCAGTGGCAGAAGTGGAGTGCAAGTAGTTTGGAAGTGATAGGGGGATACATGGTGGGGGAGATACTGAAGGGACAGGTGATGGGGGAAGCACTGGGGAAGAACTGGTATAGGAGGAAGCAGTAGAGAGCAAGTGGTAGGGAAGGTGGGGGGCAGGTAGTGGGGGAAGCAGTGAGGACAGGCAGTAGAGGAAGCAGCGGAGAGCAGGTGGTGGAGAGGCCAGTCAATAGAAGGTCAAACATCCTGACCCCTGCCCCAGCCTCCCATACTTTGCCTCCTTCTGCCTGTCCCCTCACCATTATTTTCACCCTTTTACTGCTTGCCTTCCCTGGCACCGGCTCCCAAAGGCTCTGCTGCCCCCAACCCGTCTTCTTCTCTCACAGGCTGAGCCTCCCCACTCCCCCTCTTCCTCTTCCCTCCATTTCCCACCCAGCAACCTCTGCCCCTTACCTTTCCCTCCCCTTTTTCCTACCAATCTCCATGCACAGCAGCCTCTGCCTCCCTGGAGAGAGGTAGAGGCTGAGGGAAGGAGAGGACAGGGTCAGAGGCAGTGAGAGAGCAGGCAGTAGCTATAGCTCCAGCCCCCACCAAACCACAGCAGCTACCTGCCCCTGTCCCGCCTCCCCACCCACCCACCACCTTATACTTGATTCCAAGACAAGGGGCTTTCTCCCCACCCCCAATGTTATATGGGGGTAAAAAACATATCTTGGAATCAAGTAAAAATGGAAGGTAGATAAAAATTATTAATACTATCAAGTCATTTCAATCACTGTATTAGATTTAAAACAAGGTATGCTAAAACTTAAAATCAACACAGATGTTTCTGTGATTTTTTAACTCTACTGAAAATAGTTCCCCAGTGGCATTTCCAACCCAGACACTGCAGCAAAGTAAAGCTATCTAAACTGGGTACACTTTCTGAGTTAAGTGAAATGCAAACGCTAAGCAATCATCATTAATGACCAGCAGATTTTATAAAATTCTTTCACTTTTAGTAGTTTGAAGTGTTGTGGCTAAGACAAGAAACAAATGATTTAGTAGAACTGCATGAATTTTTAACCTGACAATGTCCCTTTAACATATGCAAATTGACTCACACAATTATAGCTGTTGGAATTCCACAGAATTTGACCCTCTATGCATACGTTTTAACAATAAACTACAAAATCCCAAGTGTAACCTAAGCCCTTTTAAATAAATACATATTTCATAAGAATACCAAATATGTCAAAGCATAATTAGTTAGACTGTCTTGTCAGGTTTGCTTAGATAAATATATTAGAGAGTAATCTTTGAACACTGGGGGAATACCATAGTGATTCATACCAGCAGTTACCATAGGCATTGTTTACCTGTCCAAGTCACGCACTCAATACCTGCTTAGTTTTTCATCTGAATGTGTAAATATAGCATTACATTGCATGAAGTCCACACTGAAAACATATTTAAACAGGTATAAACTAGGTTCGCATATAAAAATGTATTACTTTTACTTCCTTGAGCCTGGTATCAAAATGTTTATTTTGCACATACTACAGTAATGCAAAATTGTAGCTAGAAAGGTACACCAGATTTTGCTCCATATCTACAAGAATTTGAGGCAGTCCTTTATCACCCAGGAAGCCTTCTGCAGGAGGAACACCCGGGTACAGAGGGACATACCATGTATGGAGGGGGAGGGTGGTAGGGAGGGCTTGCCTCTGAAAAAACAGGGCCCAGTCAATATAAGCTAAAAAAAAGGGCTGAAGTGAAAATAAAGTGGCTTATGAGTCGCATGCATGCTCTGCATTAGCCAGGAAAGAGATTGGGGAGTTACTGTGGGCAGTTTTCTAAAAACATCAGTTTAGTGTTCAGCAGCCATCAAAAAGGCAAGCAAAACACAAGGTTTAAGAAGGGCATCGTAAACAAAATGGAAAGTATCATGATGCCCCTTTTATAAATCCATGGTGCACCCACACCTTGAATACTGTGCCCAGTTCTTGTCTCCACACCTCAAAAAGGATATAGAAGAAGTAGAGAAGGTCCAGAGAAGGGCAACAAGGATGATTACTGGTATGGAGGGGCTTCCATAAGAGAAGAGACTAAAGAACTTAGGCCTACTTGGTTTAGAGAAGAGAGGCTTGAGGGGAGACATCATAAGAGTGTACAAAATACTAAATAGCGAAGATATTAGGAAGAATTTTCTCACTAGAAGGGTAGGAAAACACTGGAAAAAGTTACCCAGAGAGGTGGTGGAAGCTCCATCCTTGGAGATTTTCAAGAATTTGGTGAGACAAAGCTTTGTCTGGAATGATCTAATTGGAGATGGTCCTGCTTTGAGCAAGGGGTTGGACTAGATGACCTCCTGAGGTCCCTTCCAACCCCTAACTTTCTAGGATTCTATGATACAGACTCTGAATCAGACCTTCCTAGACCCTCAATGCTGGGGGCTGCAATTCAGAGAGGAACAGTGGGAAAAAACTCTGGTAATGCCCAGTTCACTCTCCCTTTCAGCCTCCACTTTCTGCCTTTGCATGACACAGGAGACAGACCAAGATGGACCTATGGTCTGATCCAGTAAATGGTAGTTTTTATGTTCTAGTCCTTTGCCGGTGACTGTTACCCTTTATGAGGGGAAATTAATGCAATTATATTCCCCACTATTTATGTACACTGTGGGCATGTCTACATGCACAAATGCTCCATGGTGGGTTTACTCTAGATGTTTGAATTACTCTAAAGTAAACCCACCCTGGGCAGGTATCTACATGTGCAGGGAAGTGGAAGCAGATTAGCTGCTCATAGCAGCAGTCTGCTCCCGCTCCTGCCAGCCCTGCACCTGCCGCCTGCAGCAGCCAGGGGGGTTCTAGGCTGCCTCCTGGGTGCCAGCCCAAGGGCTGGCAGGGAGCATATCTGTCTTTTGGTGGGGGCTGGGAGATTGCTCCCTGCCCTGCGGAGGTCTCTGCCACTGAAGCCCCAGGTTGGGACAATGTCGCTCTGCCCTGGCAGCAGGGGTTGTTATCTCCCAGCCCCAGATCCATAATTGCAGAGAGGGGGTAGGGAGCTCCCTGCTGCCAGGGCAGGGGGACATTGTCCCTGCCTGAGCTCCAGTGGCGGAGCCTGCCCCAGTACCAGGCAGCTTCCAGGGGCAAGGAGCAATTTCCATCCCCTGCTGTCCAGCTTACCAGGAGCACATTTGCTCCTAGTCAGCAATCTACATGTGCTGTACTGTACAGTAATTACTCCCAAGTAAATTTGCTACTTGTATTTACAGGTAGCAAATTTACTCATGATTAGAGCAAATTACTCTGCAGTAAGTGTCTGCACGCGTAGACGGTGACGTTTTCTGTGCAAGAATTCACTCCAATCTTGAGTAAAGGGTCTCATGTAGATGTGCCCTGTGTATTTGTAATGTATGATGTCTGAATATTAATGTAAGCATCAAAGAGAAATAGCTGTTTTATAAGTGCTCTGCAACCAGCAAAGCTTTCAACAAAGAATGGGTATGGTAGACCCTGAGGAAGGAATGCTGCATTTATGTATGCCATGTATAGACATGATTTTCCCATGGAAACTGTGCTACAGTGCATTCAGTAGTTCTTATCAGCTGCCACTTTGGTGCTGCTGTGGTAGATTTATCAGATCAGACAGACCATAAATATGTTCTCCTCTTGCAAGTTTTATTGTGGGTATACATACCACTCATTATAACTGGATTCAGAAGAATTTTGATTGTGTAGTGGAAAAAGATTACCAGGCAGCAGTCATGAGACAGTGTGAACCAGGCTCCAACCCCCACTTATACTCCGGCCAAACACCAAACAGCTGTTAAGTTATCATGGACAACTATCAGATGTTTGAGTATTTTTCTGGGGGGGGTTTCTTTTCTTTTTCTTTACTCAGGATTTCCTTCAGTGCTCCCTCTGAATTAAGAGGTTAGGGTAAACCAAGGAGAGTGTCCAGTCACCACAAGAGCAAAAGTGAGCTGCAACTGCCACAAAGCAGTACTACTCGGGTAAGTACTAGACCCTCCCAAGGTCTAGAATGCTATGTCCTTTCTGTTCCCATTTTTCTCTTTTGTTCTTTTTTTAAAGGTACAGTCCACCTTCCCCTGGGCTGGAGAATGCTCCTTCGCCCAATACAGCCTACAAGTAATAGAAACATAAATTAAAGGAAACAGCAAAAAGGAAAACCTAATTGCAAATATGCAGTTCCTTTGTCTCTTCAACACTTCAATGCCAGTTATATGTTCTGCTACATTATATCATTATAACTCAAATAAAAGAGGAACAAGAAAAATAAACTTTCTTTAGCTCTCCAAAGCTTGCGGCTGCTCCAACTTTCCCCAGTGCTCTAGTCTCTGCATTTGCAGGATGCTGCTGAGCACTTCTCCTGCAGTTTGAGCTCCTCCAAGCTCCGAGACTGGAATTTGTTTTTCTCTCCATTCCTGGGGTTTACCCAGCTGGGTTTCAGGCTGAAGTAGAGGATCTTGCCTGTTTTCCTGATCTGTCTTCCCTCTTGTCCCATGCAAGTCCTGCACCAGAAATAGAGCACTGGGCATGGGGAATGCCAATCTGGAAGGAACGGCGACTAATAAAATGGTGTTCCAACAGCTGTGACATCCACCGTGCCACCAGTGCTTCCTGTTGGTCCCATAAGTTTCCCCTGGTTTCCTTCTTTCTCTGTGAAGAGGTGGGGGAAGCCTCTTCACAATAAGTAATGGCCATCCTTACCTAAAACAGCTTACAATTTCATCATTTTACATGCATAAACCAAATGCAGTTGTCTAAGTAAAAGGAAAATTGGAAATAACCATAGACAGATCATTGACCTGGTCACTACAGTACAAGATATTCGTATGAAAAGAATAGATTACCAAATAAGAAGTGATGTACTTACAGTATAAACCCCATGTTAGTCCACATTCTAGATCAGTAGGGGCCAACCTTTTATGGCTGGAGTGCCAAAAATAAAGCCCACACTTTCCCTGAGTGCCAATCCAATGTCCTTCCCCTGCCTGATTTTCCGCTCTACTTTCTGCTCTCCGTCTCCTCCCTGATCTGCTGCATGCCCCACAGAGAGGTAGCCCATGGGTTCAGAGGGCAGTAAAGGGCCAGAGTAGAACTCTGCCTGTGCCACTTACCAAAGGTGGCCGCTTCTGTTCTAGATGTTGAGTAGCAGTGCACAAATACTGAGCTGAAGACTATACAATAAAATGCAAAGAACCATAATGTCAGTCCTCCAGAATGTTTGCTATGAGGACATTTTTTATTTATTTTCATATAGTAGTGCCTATCTCAAACAATAAATGCTACACATTTTTGGAACAACAAGATTTAGTATAACAGATTTGTCATTTTGTCATTCTTTACTGAAATTTCGAGATAAAAATTCTTTTAAAAATTACAGAAAGATTGTCATTTATTGACTGATTTTTTTAATTTTTTTTTTAGCTGTGTTATATTCATAGATGCTAGGGTCGGAAGGGACCTCAACATTAAGTCCAACCCCCTGCCTAGGCAGGAAAGA